AAACCTTATGTGAGGCAAGCAGACTGGATTTGCGCCACTGTATCTTAAGAATTACAGGGAATATTTTATAAATCCGTGGTTCTGGTAGTCTGCCTTTACATGGTTCAGTTTGATAGATGGTTGCTGGCTCAGTATTAATTTAATCATTCTGGGTCTGTTGTATTTATTGTGAAGATGATTAAGGATTTCAGGTAAGGATTAAAATGACCTTGTTAAAATTCAGATGCAGCTGGCTAGTTTTGAGAAAAAAAAATTGTCAATTTTTTCTTGGTAACTGCTTGTTCTTATCACAGAACAGGCTGACCTGCAGAACTGTGCCAAGCAAAAAAGAGATGTCATGGGCCACATTGAAAACCATTTAGTGACACTGCGTCATGGCTAGACTCCTGGGAGTTTGTCGACAGACCGATGAAAATCAGGGTCTTAGCATGCAAAGGATGGCATAAATGAATGCAATATTGGATTTATGGTATTCTCTCAGGTGCTCATTTCTTCATCATGTCATTTCTTAGGTATTAGTGAGGCTAATTGACCATATTGAGAGAATTTTTTGGTGAAGGTTTTTGAGCAGCTGAACAAATCCCAGAACTGAACAGATGAGAGCTGAAGCTGAAAAAGTCAGTCTGGAAATAATTTTGTAAAACGTTTTGTAACTGCGTAGTCAGTTAACCAGCGAAACAACATCTTGGGTGTAATGGTGGATTCTTTTCTCCTTGCTTAAGACCTTCTTCTAAAAGCTGCTGTAGTGTACTGGCTAGAGCATTAGCTTGGTGCTGAGAGTTGAGTTACAGACTACAGAGTTTGTATTAATACTCAGCTATTTCTTAATTAGGTCATATCCTTTGTTTGACATAGAGTGACAGTCTGGCTCTACCAAGGCCAGTGTAAGTTTTCTGTAGAAAGTACTAAGTAGCAGCATGAAGACTTTGAAAGCCCTCTAGGAATTTAGGCACGTTCCTTTTATTAATTTCCATTGACAGTTGTGTAGCCAAATGCTGTAGTAACCTTTGAAAATTTCATCCAAAGTATTTGCTTTTGTGATTGCTGAAGTCCCAGCTGTGCACAGTGAAGATATGAGTCATTCCCTAGTGATGCTTGACAGTTCCACTGTCTGATGGCCTCGGGCCATTGGTTTGCACTAACGATGGTCTGTGAAGGTAAATAGCGCCCCCCCCCCCCTTAAAGGAGGGCTTGTTCCTTCTAAAGCATAAGAAGATATTTGGAGAGACTCAGCTGACATAAATGGGTTCCTCCTGCTTGTCTCTGTTGTGTCCAGTCGTGCTGGGGTGAGGGAAGTGACTGCTTATTCTAATCCAGAGCTGCCAGTTCCCAGGAATAAAGTGTTGTCAATTTGAATATGAGAACAGATATTCTGTATGTGATGAAATAACATAGCTGTTATATACCCATACATAATGAAACACATGGATTTTAGTGTACGCTTTCATCTACTGAACTGCATAACTCTTTACATTACAGTTTAAAATTCTCAGTAGCAGGTTCTGTCCTCTTATTTTCATAGAGATTGAAAAGCTGCTTCTTTGAGAAGAAAGGGGACTGAGAAAACTAAATGAAACTGAGCGGTCTTAAGAAGATCATTCAGAAACTCTCTTTTCTCTGTCCCGTCAGAACAGGAGAGCACTCAGTGAACTTGAATGTCACAGACAAATTTCAGAACTGGTGAAAGGGAATGGCTCTTGTATACGGCTGGACAGCATGCCTGTGAAACTCATTGCTGCAGAAGGCTATTAAGGCCAAGAATATAGCAAACTTAAAAAAGAAATCGGATACTAGCAGGGTTATTACTGATACCCAGAATTATAATAATTAACGCTATCAATGCTTGAAAGAGATATTGTGTTTCGAGCATTGGGGCACAGGGTAATCTCTGTCTGAGAGATATCAAGATGAGACTTGTGGAAAGATGATGTCATGTCTACCTTGCATGGGCTCTTATGCTACAGTCTAAACTTACTTTGCTAGAAGTATACAGAAGTATTTGAACTTGTTGTCTGATTGCTTATATCAATTACTGTATACAGAGTCCTTTAAAATGTACATCCATATCAACAGAAGTGATAGTCATCTAAAACACTGTGTTGAACCAAATTAAGTCAGGAGTAAATGCAGCATGGTTGGATATCTTTGAAATTGTGTAGGTGTCAAAATGCTACTGACTCGTATAAATGGTCTCACACTACACTGAGCGTACATACTCAGCATATGTGTCTGTTAGGGTGCATTGTGGTTTTTTAAATACAGTTATTTTTCAGTACAGGTTTTGCTGCTTAGTCTCATTGCTTTATTTGTAAGTCCAGTGTATCACATTTTCTAGATACGAGGTCTTACGCTACTGTCTGCTTTTTCCAAACAGAGCCACTTCTCAACTAGTGTGTACTCTGCTGTGGAGCAATCTGGGTGCCACTGGAAATAAAAGCCAAAATGACCTTGCAGTTAAAGTTCACTAACTCAAGATATCCAACCAGAAAAAATGAATCCCAAGGCAATTCTTGTATGTGTTTCCCACCCACCACTTAGGACTGGGAAAGGGAGTAAAAGAAAACACACACAATAATGTGATTATTCTATTCTATTCTGTTCTGTTCTGTTCTGTTCTGTTCTACTTATACTTTTTTGCTGCAGTGTTTTCTGCTGGGTCTTGCAACTGGTTTTTAGTGTAACTTTAGGAATCTATAGAATAATAAGCACTATTATTTTATAACCTTCTGGCAGGATACAAACATGATGTAGCTGTTTCCTTCAGAGATATAACACCAACATGACGTGTGCAGACTTTTGCAAATAAACAGAACTAGATCTAATTCTGGGTGGGAATCAGAACCAGTACCAGAGGAATTAAACTTCAGTTGCCTATCCTGTAAATAAACACACTGCAGGAAGAAGTTGTCTCAGAACTTAACAGCTATTAAAGGAGGGCTCTAAGGGACCAAAGTTGTTTTTATTTTTGCTTACATGAGAGATTTCATGTGAAATGATGTGTTAGCAGGAGCTGTGCAGGCTTGCACAGTGAAACGCTAATCTCTCATGTAGACCTCGTCCTGAGTGCTAGGGCCAGGAAGAAGTGGGGAGCTTTAATCTCTTTCAATGTTCGGGTCTGGCAAGAGTAGTTGGAATGATTTTCAGAGGTGGTGTGGAAGTGTAACTTTATAAAGCAAATGATCTCATTACTTCTTTCCCTGTTCCCTAACCAGCATAATTAATATCCCAATGTTCCCTAAGAGTGGTTTTATTTCCTGCCCAGCTAGTTGACAGACAGTGCTGAGATTTGAATTCACAGCAGGCAAGAGCAGATGGCTACCTTTGCTAACAGATTACTGCATCAAAGCGTACAAACTGTCCAGCTCTGTCTCAATAAACCTCAACGTATGATTTATAAAGTGAACATAATAGAAGAAATCCATGATGCCTGTAACGGGAATCATATTACAGCACTACTTAAAGCACTGGCAGAACTGCCTAAGCAGTTATTGTATACTTGTGCTGATCTTCAAATCTTATTAGGCAAGAAAGCATTGCCTGGAAAATTGTTTCCTTTGGTATTCCTCTCATTTAATTTTTATTGAACTAATTAAACTTAAAGGGAGATTTCCAGTACATATAGCTTCTATTGAAGTTCTAGCAAACATATTAATGTGTTCATATGGGTTTGATGGTTAATTGTTTGAATGGGACTTTTTACATAAGCAAAAAAGTCTCTGCTAAACTTCTGTACCTGCAAGTCCATGATGAAACTACTGTACTCTTAACTGAAAACCAAAACTAAACAAAAAAAAAAAAGAGAACCGTTATTTCAGAAAAAGAAAAGTCATTTCAAGATCATGCACTCTTATCCAGCACAGCAGATAAGCATGGTTAGTTGAGATGATAAGTTGCAAGTAAAACTTTCCTGGAACAGTTGATGAGAAATGGCTTATAAAGGAGGCCAAGGCTTTTTACAGAGTGTAGCAGCTCCAAATGATGGCACTGTATCTTTTAAGAAAGATACGATATTTCTAGCATGTTGCGTAATTATTTGCTATGTAAATAAATATGAAATGTGAGGTTCTCTGAGCCTGAAGTCTATTGGTATTGCTGGCATTATTTTTGAAGAGGGTCAGTCTATAATTCCTTCTGTTTTTGTAAGCATTCAGCATATATTTACTCTTCGGGAAGCTCCCATTGCTTTGGGTGCTGAAGAATGAGACACAGTGATTTATAGCTCTGTGAGATGGAGGGGCAGTCCTAATCCTTGCAAAATGTGGACTTGTTTCCTGGTGAGTCCTACCATCTCACTGCATTTCTGCTTTCTTGAGGGCAATAGCTAAGTCTGCTGAGGTGCCTTGGATAGCAGCTCTGCGCAATTGCTAACCCTTTCTTCTGTCCTTTCTCTCCTCTGGTTGATCTGTTCAGTGCTCTGTTTCCCTCACTTTGTACTTAAGATCTAGGTTTTGCGCTGCTCTCTGTGAGCTGTGTCTCTGTATGAGAGGGAGGGCTGCAATCTCTTGTGTGATAACTGGGAGCCAATGGGATTTTTCTGACAGTTTTGTGGAGAACAGTGGGAATACCACAATGTCAGTTTGTGGAAAATAGAGGTTGCTTTGCAGCTGTTACAAAGAGACAGATTAAATTTCCTGTTTTAAAGAATAAGGGAAGGTGGGTTTTTTTCATTTTGAAGTTAAAACCTGAAGTTAGGATAACTTCTGTTTACCCACCTGAAACGTTTCCCTGTATAATTAGCTCAATGTATACAGTAATGTTTTCTTAGGACATAAAGCAGAAGAGGCACAGAAAAATGTTACGTGACAGCTTGAAGATTGTAGTTACGTGTTTCCAAAGATGCTGTTTGTACCCCCTGACTGAATAGTAACTGACCACAGTGAATATCTGATTTGGCAGTGCTCTTGCTTGCATTTATACAGCTTGCTTAGAAATGAGTGGTGTCTCTTTCTGTCAAATACAAATGCATGTGGTTTTTTTTGTTGCTGTTGTTTTTGTTGTAGACTTGCCCTCAGCAAACTTAAGCAATTACAACATCACCGTGGTGGAAGGAAAGAGCGTCACATTGTACTGTGATACTACTGGCGGGCCACCCCCTAATGTGTCCTGGGTGCTCACTAATCTTGTTTCAAACCACGAGGTAAGTTTCATATTCAAATACGTGACAATTCAGAAACAGGAGATACCTGCTGAAGGGTGGAATGAAGGTTCATGTCCAGCTTCAGTTAACTTTTTATTAAAAAGATTAAACAAAAAATTGATGTTGGAATTACATGTATTTTACAATTACTTTCAATCCAGGGTGACTGCCGCAGTGCTTTTGGAGAATGGCAGACATCTGCTCCTTGAGACCCTGATTTGCACTGGTTTTTTGATGCTCACTTGTAAATGAACGTAGTGTAAATTTCTGGAAGTAATGTGGTGAATTGGGATACTGAGACACAAGGGCTTTCTTATTATCACTGATACCTGCATACAGAGACTAAATCTAATCTACCCTAATCATGAAAAAAGCTTTGTGTCTGTAATTTTATTATATTTTCATGCCAAAAGCTTGGTGTGTTGGAATTTTGTTATAAATATTTTGTCGCTTGTTTAGTTTTCCTTCAACAAACAAAGCAACAACAGGAAGCCTTGGAAACTGAAGTGAAGGTTCTGCTAAAAAGAATGGCAGCCTTTTTTAATGAAGTATGAAGACGCTTCCTCAATAAAATCATCTAGGCAGGAGGAATTTTGTTTTCTGAGATCTTTGTATTCTGTGTCCTTACTTCAGACTGTGTGCACACTGGAGATAGAGTGTTTTAAGTTCTTTCTGATGGAAGTGTTGATAAGAGGAGGCATATAAGCAGATCTCTAACATGCAGCTGCTGACCTCTTACATCGCCACTATTTACACAGTGGGCAAGACCCTCTGTTATTTACAATTTTATGGCATTGGCTTTCCTACATTCGTGGTGGTGCAGACTGCCTAAAGCTTCCTGGTCTGTACAAAGTGCGGGATGTGTACTTCCAGAACTGTTCCTGCAGTGCGGAAGAGACAGAACCTCTGGGGTCTCGTAATCTTTGTACTTTTTTCCTTGAGGTCATTATATTGGGCCTGTATAGAATTTGACTAGCCTGTCTTTCAAGCTCTCATAAGTAAGAGCTCTGCGGTGCTCTAGTTTTATTTTTAAAATTTTCTCTAATCTGTAAAAGTACCCAAAGGCATCAGTCGTCATCAAGAACAAGAAGTTAAAACAGTTTGCAGAACCTACGCCAAGTTGTGCTCTTTCTTTTTCTTTTTCTTTTTTTTTTTTTTTTTTGTTTTTAACCAAACAAATGTGGGATGCTGTTCAGAAAGTGAGATCACCTCATTTTTTAACCCTGCTATCTTTGAAATGCCATGGTCAGTTTGCTTCAAGCTTTCCAGAAATATTCTGTCCTGGCATAACTTCATCTTAACATTTTAGAGGGGCTCATAATATAGGCTAGCTACAACCTTAGCCGTGGAGCACAGTAGTCTTTTCAGTAGCAGAAGAATGAGTGCCTTTTAAACATCATTTGCCACTCACAACTATCCTTCCCTTTTCTGTGAGTGTTGTTTTTGGTTTCCTTTCTCTCACATCTCCGTTTCTGCCTCCCTTTTCTTCACCTCCTATGTTGCTTTTGCCTGTTTTTTCTCTCTTTCCTGTTTTACAAAAAGAGACCTTAACAAAAGTTAAAACTAAACTCTAGTCCTGCAAAGTTAACTGCACGCTCTCAGTTTCTGTGCTGATGTATAATCCGATTGATGTTGGTTAGATTTTTCTTGCTCTAGATTTCAGCCCTGAGCCTGCGATTGAGCCCCTCTGCTTTCGGTCCAGCTTTGAGCACTGCTCACCTGTGAGAGCTGCATATAGAGAAATCTGTAATGGCGTGTTTGCTTTTCCGCTCACCTCCCCCAGTGTCACACTGAAGTCAAAGGGACATTTAACTTGAGTGGAGTTAAGGTGTCATCTTGAGGTTCAAAATTCTGGTCCCACAGGACTGTAGACAGGAGTGTTCCCACGTGTTCCTGTTGACTGCCGCTGAAAGTCACTGTGGTGTTACAGATGCAGTGTGTCATTCGTGTTCCGCGCAGCACTGAAGTGTACGTGTACACTAAGAAAACTACCTCAAAAGTAGTTTTTAAAAATGATCCTAATTATTGTTTATTTTCTGAATATGTTTTGGTTCTTTTCCTTTTTCAGAAAATAGTCTTGCATTTTATGAAAAATTCAAGTATGGAAATAGTAATTATGTAGAGATCATATGAAGGACCTGTTTTAAGAAAACAAGACTCTAACAGCTAGCTTTGCCAGCTATTTTTTTTTTTTTTTTTTTTTTTTTGGTAATTTTTGGTAATTCAGCCCTATTTGCTTTATTCAGTGTTCCATAGCTGCATATTCAGTATGGCATTTAAGGTTGTAAATGAGCACTGAGCTTTCTAAGAATCAAATTTTCTAAGAATCATAATTCTTACCTTAATTACCCTGTGCTTAAACACATAAAACAGTACTTGGGCAGTAGCTTAGGTAGCAGAAGGTACGTAATTTCTCGTGGAAGGTTTCATGAGAAGGAGCAGCTTTAAAGAGAAAGTTGGCTAAGGAGGAGGGAGAAGACATTGTTGTCAAGGTGCAGCAGAGCTCAGAAGGCAGTAGGGGAAGAGATGTCAAGCGTAAGTGTAAAGAAAAGAGACAAAAGGAAGAGTAAAGCAAGGATTGAGCAGAATATAGGTGGGAAGAAAAAGTTCAAGAGGAGCAGAGATAGACCGTAGAAATCGGTCATGAAGTGGAAGAGAGGGATGAACAAGGGTATGGGTAGAGAAAAAACCATTTGTGTGGAGGGGAGGAAGTATTTAAAAAAATAAGCAGAAACTGAAAATGACAGGACAGAAAAATGGTTGAGTGCACTGTTTGTAGCAGGACTTTCAGAGCTTTGAATCCGCTGCCACTGACAGTTAGAACTGGTTCTGTAGGTGCTTTGTGTCTGTTTGGATGAGACACTAAAGTAAGGCTTTGGTTAATTGTGGACTGATATGGCTAAAAGGAAGGGAAAATGAAAAATGCCATTCAGCTGTGGCCAATGATTCCCTCCCTCTCCCTTGTTCTTTATGCTGCGGTTGACGCATAGATGTTTTTCTGCTCGCTTGTAGAGTGACACAAGCAAGAACCCTGCCTCGCTAACCATAAAGAACGTTTCATCCATGGACAGCGGGCTGTGGATTTCCTGCCTAGCAGAGAACATTGTGGGAGAGGACCAAGCCTCTGCCGAGCTCACGGTATTCTGTACGTACGCAGGCCTCCATACAGCTCCCGAGGCCAAACTGCGTTGGCAGCAACTGTTTCGGGTATAAATATTTTTTGGGGCACACAGGCTGTTGAAACAAAAACCCTTAAGGCATGTGAACTATCTACTGCAGTTAATGCTGGGAGTAGCCCAACCAGCAGTTGTTGTATTTATCTGCTTCAGCCGTGCGTTCTGCAAAAAAAGTTTTTCTAAAGGCTTTATCTTCCAGTTAGAATGATCTGTAAGGTCTGTAACCCAGAGTACTCAATGGCACTGTCGGTGTGGGAAGGTTTGTAATGTACATGTACATACACACTGTCTGAGTGTGCATGTACATACGCACTGTCTGAGGAATTAAGAAGTGTGAATGCATCAAAAGCTCATAGTGAACGCTCATAGAATTATAAGAGGTTACAAATGTTTAAGTTCTTATTATCTAAAGCAACAACTGCTTTGTTCAAAAAATAACACGCTTGCAACATTTGTACTGCCAGATGTAAATTTATTTGTCATAGCTTTGAATAATATACTTACTTGTCCCAGCCAAGGAAGGGGGAGGGGACATGTAGTGTAGAGGCACTGACTTCTTAGATCTAAGCTCCAGCCTGAATTCATTTTATGTGAACTAGACAGCATGTTTTCACAAGTTGCAACCCTCTGTTTAATTGAAGATGGGAATGGAACGCTTTGTAGATGGCAAACTTTGTTCAGCATGTGCTCATGACAGAGTAAACTAGAAAAATCACTGTAGATGTAGGTTTGTAGGTTGGAATTGGATATGTAATAGCTATAGGAAGGGACATAAACTAGAAATGTTTGAACAGTGTAAATGAGATTCTGAGGTTGGCACTGTTGTGAGCAATAAAAGGGAGTATAACTAGATGAAATTGGATGCAGTTAAGAATAAGTATTAAGGAAGATTTCCCAATAGTGAAATAATGGGGAAGGTGTTGGAATAATCTCCTGAGGGAAACAGAACAAGTCTGTAAACTTGAGGCATTTAGCAGGTTTGAACAAAGAATGAGAAAAAATATAGTAGAAAATTGTCTTTCCCTGACAGAAAAATCCAGGGAATTAAGTCAGCTGTTCTGGCTTTGATTCTGTGAAGAAAATAATCTGAAAGCTTGGATTCCTAGCTGAACACATTTCCAGTACTACTTGCTTTTGGCCAGCTTTTAAATATTGTCAATACTGTTGTGTTCCTTCAGCACTCCTCTGCACCATTTTTTCAGCAGGGTAAAGCTAAAATGTCTCTCTCCCCCTTCTCAGTGATCCAGTAACTGAACTTCCCACACCTTACAGGGTTTAAGTGATTTCACAGGTGTTTAGTCTTTGGAACTAGTTTGTTTTGTTTCTTTCGAAAGAATGGCTTCATTTCAGTTGTGAGCATAGTACTCTAGGCAGAGCAGTGGGTTCCTGTGTGAGCATCCTCCAAATGGGTATCATTCCTACTAATAACATACTTTCGTACTGACGAATGAAAAATACTTGTCTGACAACTTTGTGGGGAGGGAGGGAAGGGAGGAAAGACATGTTCAGAATATTCTGATGTTCTTCACTCTTTTTTCCAATGTAGTTGCACCAAATATCACGTTTATTGAATCTCCAACCCCGGACCACCACTGGTGTATTCCATTCACTGTGAAAGGGAACCCTAAGCCCACATTGCAGTGGTTCTATGAAGGGGCTATACTGAATGAGTCTGAATACATCTGTACTAAAATACATGTTATCAATCAAAGTGAATACCACGGCTGCCTTCAGCTGGACAATCCTACCCACCTGAATAATGGTGCTTATACCTTACTGGCAAAGAATGAGTATGGAGAGGATGAAAAACGGGTTGATGCTCATTTCATGTCAGTGCCTGGAGATGGTGAGTATAATTTTTTTTTTATGTTAGCAATTGCAAATTGATGACACTGTGGAGACAGTGCTCCTGGCCAGTTTAACTCTTTTGGAAGAAGCTTTTTATATGCTTTTTTTTTTCCTCTCTGAATGAATGTCTTCAAGATTAGTTGTAAAATAATGTTTTTATTGAGCATTTTCTTCTTGTTAATTGCTTCTGAAGGGAGGCCACGCTAGTGCCCTTTGAGTAACCATCCTCAGTGCCAGCTAAGGCTAGTAAAAGGTTGCTGTTCCTGAGGTATTCTCAAGCCTGAGTTCTGATCCTGGAAAGCACTGAGCACCAGTTCAGCCAATCTGTAAGTTTTAATGCACTGCATATGAATGCAACTAGGCAGTGTATCCAAGGTCACGGGGGATGCCTATGTAGCATCTAGTGCCGTGTTGCAAAATCAATTGTGCAGTCTGGTGAGTTGATGATAGTATGTTGTTTAGGTCACCAGAGGGAGCTGGAGAGAAAACAACCCAGAGGCAGGATGGACAACGTCTCAGGTCCTCACAGGCGTTTTCAGTGTCCAGTTCCCATTCGTTTCGGTGGAGGTTGGGCACCTACATGCCTGGGAATATCCACGCTCAAGATGGTTGCTGTTAAATATATGCATCTTCAGTTGCTCTAAAGGCTCTGCCTCAGCCCTCCTAAATGTTACATGAGCAGGCTCAAGGTGGACTAACTCATCGAACTGCAGGGACTACTGTAGGTGATTGATGTTCACCGTGGTTTGATCTTTTCCCACATCTTCAAAACCATATGTGAAGTGACTGTAAGAGTAAGAAGGCATACATGTAAGCATATTGCTGTAAGTGGAAAAAAATGAGTGGACCTTGCACAGCTGGAGTGGAAATAAAGGCATGTTTTTGCGCAAATAATTGCACAGTCATATCTGAAAATATGAGGATGTGTGTACCTTTGGCTTTTTAGCCATGGGGTATAAATAGCTGCCTTCTTTTTTGAAACAGCAGTGTGCAGTGCTAATGTTATCTGGCAGGAAAAAAAGTGAATATTTAAATTCTCTCTCCTACATTGCAGGCTACAGACAGTAAAAATATGGTCTGTATTTAACATTCTTCCCTATCAGGTCAGTCTGCTGTAGGGAGAGAGGTGGCAGGTCTTTTGCTTTCCCACCCTTAGAAGGAGAAGGTGAAGAGCTGATACAACCAGGCTTTATTTACTCCTGCTGTCCTTAGTGCTCCTCTCCTCTTTTTTCTCTGGAGTTCTTCCTTAAATAGACTCATTACAGAAACATGCCGTGGTTTCAGCTACTGGCATCCTCTAATACTGCATTATAACGGTTCAGTAAAACAGTTCACCTCATAAATGTTCTGCATAAAATAGAAGTTCTCTTACACCCTGATTATTTAATATGAACCTGGGTTCATTTTCTTAACAGAATAACATTTCCTCTAATACATTTAGGTGATTTTTTTGTCTTTGATCCAAATCCCTTTTACTCTTCTGTTTTTCCTTTATGCTTCTTCCCTGTACACTGAAAATTTCCTAGTTGTGGCTTTTTAAATCAGTAAATAGAATTGTAGGTATCCTCCAGATTAGAAAGACAGCATTATTTATTTGTTCCACCCTCTTTATACTCATAAGGAGTATAAGTCTGCCAAGATAATCTGTGCTGTGTTCTTTCAGCATTTCCCAAGCTCTGTGGCGGATTAAACTTCACAGAAAGAGTATAGAGGAAACTGGACTATGTATAGACAGGATGTAACTGCATTAGAAATCAGTTCATGCGTAGTGGATGGCACCAAACCAGTCTTAAAAATTAACAACAGGGGAAATTGCTTATCTACTTAGCCTTCTCAATATTGTTTTTATTAGTGGGGCTTTTTCCTATAAGAATCATGGCATTGAGCTTTAGAAAATGTCACAACATTGTTGTCTCCTCCACTGAAGCTGGCATAAAAGCAAATGTTAAAAAACTAGAATCCTCTCTGCATTGTATTACAATTTTTGTTTTAAATTATTACTATTTAAAGTACTGTCAGGCTTTTTCAAACCCTTAAAAGGCTTTTTCAGTGCTGTCGTTACTGTGTAGTTTCTTCTTTTGGCCCACATATTGTACAATGAAGCATAAAGATTAAGGCCCACGCCCTGGTATTATGTTCATTTCCATGCCTTCATGACTGAATCAAATACCAGCCCTGATGTTTCATGGGGTGGGGTATACTCACTGAGCTTTAAACTGATTCTCTGGTTATTGCATCACTTACGGGCAAATTCTCTGAAGGTAAAAACAAAAGAAAATAAAAAAACCCCCACTCACCTATAATCCATACATCTATCTAAATTAAATACAACTAAGTCTGAAGCATGTTCTGTCATCCACACTGTAATACTCCACTTTCAAAGTTGCATTAAACATGATAAAGACATGATTTGTACTAAGATGCTGTCAATTTCCAGCATGCTACTTGCAGAACATTTTTCACTGGTCTGAGGATGCAGGCTTAAAGGAGAGGAAAGCATGTACCACAGTGGGATTTGCATTGAGTTAATGATAACACAGTTAATGTTGTAAATTAAGACTTTGTTTAAAATATGAAGGCCTGGAGGAGTAAATTTCATATTCTATTAGCTAGATTTTTAACTAGCTTTAATCTGCTAAAATTCTTGGATTCCTGTGAAGCTGTTCTTGCTGAGGATGAGTTGATTATTTGAGACTACACTGCAGCAAACACTAAGCAAGGAATGTTCATATTTTATTCTGGAGGCTGTTCTCATAGTTGATTCAAAACAGCTAATGAATGCAGGAGAGATTTTTACCAATAATAAGTACTTTTAATTAAGCTTATTCATCTACCAGCTTTCTACTCTAAAACTCAGCTGAAGGAATCCAAATCACATCGTATCTTATCAAAGTAAAAGAATATATTAAATACGCCTTAGAAGTAGCATCTTGCTTGTGCAGCATAACAACATAGGGCTGTTTTGCAGAAGTGTGTTTTTTGATTGAGTCTTTTGCTGCTGCTTTATTTCGAAAATGTCAACTTTATACAGAAAGAAGCAGGCAAACCAAGTATAGTTGGTGTAGTTCATAAAGATGAGGGAATAGGATAAGTCTCTTCATAGTTTATTTACACAACAACCTGTTCTAACAGGGACCGAAACAACAATGCTGTTCTGTGTTTGCCTTAAAAATAATTGTATGTAAATGTGCAAAATTACTGTGGTGAAGTTCAATGTTAAAATAGCTTCAACTGATGTTTTGGGTTTCGTCCAGCATCTTGATTTTTGCAACTTTATCTGAAGTGAAGTATTTAGTTATATAAAAGTTATTTGAATGGAGTTGATGACTTCCTAGTTTATATTGCTGGCAGGAGTTAGGGTTAAACTAATCTGATTATCCCAATTCCAGTAAACAGTAACAAAAATGTTGCCATTTAATTTAGGAAAAAAAGCCTGGGAATTTTTTTGTTGTTTTTTTTCCTCCTCCTATTACAGAAGGTAACTTAGAAGTACTGTCTTTCAGCCCATGGATGTTTTATACTGGAAAAACAATCCATGAACTTTTATGGACAAGAAACCCTGGTCAGAACTTGCTTGAGGACAGCTAGTACAAGCTTTCTTCACTTGTTATTTATTTCTGCAGATTGACATGACAGTTCTCATGGGGTCTATTAACCTATATCTCTGGATACTAGAATATCTTCAAATGCATTTAAAAATAAACCTAATTATCTGCTGCCATTCTGCAAACGGATTGCAACTCTGTTTAGTATTTTCAGCACAGATTCTCACGCTGTTGACATAAGCATAAACAATGGTGTTCCGGTCATACTTCACAGTAGCTTTATGCCAGTGTAATGCCACTACTATGGATTTACTGTATAGTACTATAAACAGAATTATGCTTTTTGAAGTTTGATTCATCTTTAGAGATTTTAACTATCTGTTAATTTTATTTCCAAATGAACAAAAAGAAAGAGTAAAAATACAGAAGAGATGATTAGGAGCCTACTACATAAGCTATGCTATAAATACATTATAGACCAGAATGAACGGGTATGTTGAAATACAACACAAGTATCTTTCAAAGCGTGAAGAGTCTAATAGTACACTAATTTCAGTGGGTGTTCTGTGCATTATACTCACATATGTGCTCAGCCTTACATATGTGCAGTAATTAGAAAAAGCTGCCAACTGGAACTAGTAAAATTTAGAAAAGTGTAGACTAGACGGGTATCCATTCGCTTGTGTAAAGGCTGGCTTCCGAGACATCTGACTCTTTCGGTAAGAGTTCTGTCTATCAGCTGTGCAGCTGGCTTCTTGGAGGCATCCTTTTACAGAGCGAATGAAATGGTGCCGCTTTGGTCATTGCTACCACTAGCCCTTAACTTGCCAGCTCATAGTTAAACTTGTTTGTTCTCACGGTGATTTAATAGCAAAATTTTTTTATCAGGTAAAAGTCAGCGATTGTTAATGCTCACTGAAGTCTGCTTCCACTTAAGGTCAGGGAGAATTTTACCACTAATTTTTCAACAGGAATAACTATTGTTGCACTTATTCCAGATATACATTAATAGCGGAAAGCAGAATTTTGCCCAGTTGGGAAATACACCTGCCTTTGCCAGAGCTAGTGCCCTGTGCATTATGTGTTTCCCATGAAGCACAATATTAACCTTTGGGGTAGCTCTAAAATGGTTGTAAATGTAATCTGATAAACAGATACTGTGATATATTGATGTTGCTTTGCATTTGTGTAGGTACTGATCATTGCTATTGCAAGTAACATGTCAACTCTTAAAAAAATTCCTAAAGAAACTCTTATTCTTTCAGCATTTTCAATCTATTTACAAAGGCTTTTTCTTTTTTTTTTTTCTCTTTTCCATGTGCAGGTAGTGGCCCAATTGTGGATCCAGACGTTTATGGTATATATTTGATTTCCTTTTTCTTTTCTTTTAATGATAGAAATGAAGGAACTGAAACCATTAAAAAATAGAATGTCAGGCTCAGTTAAATTGAAATGGCACATTTTATAACACAATTCCAAACGGTACTTTGTATTTTTGGTTCTTCTCCTGCCTTATATTATTTAAGAAAAATGAGGGCAATATGATGTTTTACTTACTTTGCTGCTTTTGATTCACATTAGGAGAAGCATAAATCCACTGCTACGAATGGTTGCAGTTGATCCTGTAGGATGACAGATGTCTGATGTAGCTCACAGGCATGGGATTTTGTGAACCTTTTGGAGGCATTTCTTGGAGGAAAGAGAGTTTGTGATTTATCCTTATATAACTTAATTTATTTTTTTAGGGATGATTCCATACTTGTTTTGCCTCCAAAAATGTGCCCCTGAATCCCACTTAAAAATGAAGTTGGCGCATAAGTTTTCCTGTAGGCAATTTATTTTGCTCTGTCTTGTCATTTGTACCTTCCCTTAATCGCTCTTGCATAAGCAGACCATCAACTTAGTGATGTCTGAGTGTGTGCCAGAGGATTTGATGACACAGTGTTCACATTAGTTTTTTAGTTAGGCAAAATGTTTTGGTCTGTACCTAGTGGAAGCCAGTGTGCACTATAATAGAAGCTACAGAATGAAAAGCAACTGGCTAGGTTTACATAATACTTTTGGTATACTTCTGGTGAACAGGAAAGTCCATCCTAACCAACATACCCAAACACCCTTTAGCTTCCAGCAGAAGCTGGATCCTGTTTGGAGTACTTTTTATTTGGATGAAATGGCCCATCACTCAAGTTTCCTTAAGCTGATATAAATGTTATTGCTTTGATTCCATTTCATGTCATTAAACTTCAGCAAATGTGCAATTAAAGCATCCATTTGGCTTTCAGTGCTTAGAAATACTGAAGGATGGCTTCCCCTCCCTCTCTTTCCAAATTCGTTTTTTTTGGGGGGGGGCTTGGGAGGTGGGAAGGTGGTGATGGTTTGCACCATTTCTTACATGTGTTGTATTACATTAGCTGTATGCATGAAGATTTTGATTCTGAGCTGTTTATCAAGGTCCTGATGCCTGTGTATGGCTTTAACCATGTGAGTGCTGTGCTTTGATTGACTTGGGTAGGTTTCTGCTGAGATGTGCACTTCAAGTTGCACTAGCAGATCACAGCCTGCAAGACCTAGTCCTGATGAAAGCAGCCTTCCTTTTTATTCCGGCTTTTCTTTCTGCTGTTTGAAACTGCTGTCTTTGATCTTTGTTTCAGTGACTCAGTGCTTGCTTTGAGAAACACTTTGTAGTCCAGAGTGTTTCCCTAATTATTTCAAATTCAAAATACCAGTTAGTGAGGTGAATAAATGAGGCTAGCTGGAAAGTCTAGGAACTGATAAACTTTTTCAGAGAACCACTGCCTGCATGGCTGACAGTGGGACCCCTGGGATGAGCTCCCCACAGAGACTGAGCAGTTTTCACGACTTTTTTTCAGGCCACTCTATCTCTATGCTAACCTGTTTACCCAAAACTTAGATTATGTTGGAAGGAAGATTTAAAGCGCAGTCTTCCCTTTAAAATGCATTTTTCAGAGCCCCATGCTAACAATGTTGCAAATGTGCCCAGTGTAATGGGTAAAGATGGCAGCAGAGGATTTGATCCTGTTGGGCGCTGGGACTAGCTGCGTGTCTGTCAGTCTGTTGGCTATGGGTAAAGTTAATGGCAGCAGCAGGGTATTTCCCTGCGAGTGTTGGGGTGCCGCAGGGCCAGGGGTCCCCATGGGGGTCCATCAGGGCAGGGGCTGGCAGGCCGGGGGGCCCATGGGCAGCCACAGCCCCAGGCATTGGGCACTGCCCTGGGTCCGAGGCTGGGCCGCGGGCCCACAGGTGGGCCCCGCTCGGTAGGGCTCATGGCCGGGCAGGGCTGGGCTCTGAGGAGATGGAGAGGGTGGTGACGGAGGATGGGGACCCCAACTTTGAGTACACCTCTGCGTGGAGCAAAGCCCTTTGTAGGCCGGGTTGGCCTGTTCCTTGGCAATTGACCGTCTGTGTCCTGTGCTCCATGTGAGGTGATTTCCCAAACATTTTCCGTTAAGTGTTTTGAGCATACAACCGGAAGCAGAAGAACTGATGAGGTCACAGCAGGCTGCTTGACATGGTGTTTGCCCAGGGAGGGTCCCAGCTGCGTGGGGCACTCTGCCCGCTGCAAGCGCGGAGCAGTCGCTAGTGCCTGCGGCTCACCTCGCGTCAAAGGCAGGGAGGAGAGGCTGTCTGGGCCCTGTCTGGGAAGTAACTGAGAGAAATAAAGTGACTCACCCTGGGGCTGAGCAGGAGATCAAACGCAGAGCGGCTTCTTTGGCTCCGAGTTCACGTCTTTGAGCCACACTGCTTCTTCTAATGGGGTTGTAAACATGAGAGAGACAACATGCCCCGTATCACCCAACCCCTCAGAGGACTGTGCAGAGTGACACCCCCCCGCTGCTGGCATGACTGTGCTCTTGTCTGCATCCCAGCTGCTGCGCACCTTGTTTGTAAAATGGCTGCAAAATACCGCCCGGCCTCAGCTGCAATTCGCCGCAGTTGGCGTAGTCGCAGGTGGCTGTGTGAGGTACGCGGCGCCCGAGGACCTGGCCCTGAAGCGATACAGGTCTCGCATAGCGTGGATCAAGAGGCGTGACCCTGTCTGTATCGGGAGTGCTCGATGTCTATGTCAGGATTTCATAGTGAAATGAACAGGAATTTGTTTCACTCAGAATCGCCCAGTTTTGGCTGGATAGCTGCTGCGCGTGTTCTCATTGCCTGGCTCACCCATTTCAAGAGGCTTTGAAGATCTGGCACTAGTTCAAATGCAAGTGCTTCACGGTTATACAGTGGGGAATGGCAATGCAACACCAGTGTGCTGACGTGGCCTACTTTAGCTCGTGCCCATATTAATATAAAAGTGCATTCAGAGGATTTACAGACCAGACCAGAAACACTCTACATAGTTCTCATTAGTCCTTCAGGGTGTGATTTCCAGTAGCTTAGTACAGACATGAGCATAAACAGAACTGCAAATAGCATCGGCTTTTGCCCACCGCTATTTACAGGTAAAATTACAAGCAAGAAGTTTCCCTCTTGAAAGATTGTGTTACAGAGCCAGAGCAGCGAAGGCTCTAAATATTTGCATTATACATTGGTGTTGTAAAGCTACCATAAATACAGGGTTGGTCAAAACTATCTTTGTGAAGTTTTTCCCAGCTAATTGTAAAGGAAGCCCAATCTTGCAGGCTGAGATAATTGTTATAAAGCGGGCTCTGCCTGCAAATCAATGAAGCAGAAGTCTCTTCCTTTGCTGTGGCAAAGCACGTAGTCACGGTGGCGGACGGTCTGCACAGTGCCTCGTCCGAGTGTCCAGGCTGCTTGTGCAGGTGAGCTATTCAGGCAGGGCTTGTGCTGCCCGGTTAGTAAGGAGTGCTGTTCATTTGCCTCTCACTCCTGTTCTAACCTTGCTGTGTAGGACGCTATAGGCATAGAGATGCAGTGCTGAGTTGGAGAATTCAAATGGTAAAAGACCAGGAAATTGAATTTCGTTTCTCATGAAACCTGTATACTAAGGACGTATTTTGGCTTGAAAGAGTCCTGTCCTTCGGCATGCATGGTGTAGAGCCAAAATAGACTACGTGAGCTGATTAGACAAGCTGACTACTGACTGTAGCACTGGTGCCAGAGGTAGCTGCGTAGCTTCACACACCAAAAAACCTGCAGCCTGCCGAGTGCTTTGCAGAAAGCAAATGTGTTCGTGCATGCATGAAGATCAAAAGCCAAGTGCAGCTTGTTGCTAGCGTTGCCAGCTGGGCTCTCCAAAATGGCCTTGGGAGCTAAAGGAGATAAACTCGACCAAGGAGCAGGCACTCCCTGCCCTTGCTCAGCAGCAGCTCTGCAGTCAGAAGAGTTCCTGCCTCTGTGGTTAGTGAGAGCTATGCCTCTGCGCTCTGCTTTTTCAGATTCACTGTTAAAATTTCATCTGTAGGCTTACGGCACTGATTTTAATCGAAATATGTAAAGAAATACGCAGTTAGTTGCAAATTTAAATTACAATGCTGAAGGTGCATTTTGTAGTAGGTGCAGTTATTCCCTTGTTTGTTTCTTTCATCTTCACACATTACAGTCATAAAATTGAAACATTATATACATTTCCAGATGTAATCATAAAATATATACATTTTTTATTTTATTTTAATGCACGTTTCTCTAAGTTAATATGTGTATTATTTAATTCTTTTTATCTCATTTGAATAGTTTTGACAGGAAATCATGTACTGTAAATATCTGTGTTTCATTTTTAAATAATTATAAATAATTAAGCCATGTTCATTCTTTTTGATGGTTCTGGATTCACTCCTTCAGACCAGTCGGTGGAATTATTTTGATAAATCAAATCTCTTCATACCATCTCAGGCACTTAATTTTTTAAAGGTTTACCTGTATGACTGTTTATGATGATAGACTGTAACCTCTGTGCACACAACAGTATTTTTTTATTATTTTTAAATGAAGAAAAACAGCTATTTCACATTTGATAGTAATAAACTAGCTAAAGACCCGTCTGCCAAGTTCTCAGCTAAACAAAAGTCCCCAAGCTAATTTCTAAGACTGTCCTATATTTGGCTGAATACAAGGCTGGAGAAGTTCAGTGTAGAGGGCAATCTTTCATTTTTAATGGGAAGTCAGAAGCACATAAAAATAGCTTTATGGATGGAGTTCTTATTTAACCCTAGTTTTTCCAGTAGATGCACATTATGGTATAGATTCCTTCTCCTTTCAAGTTTGTAAGTCACAACACATCTGTTCGATTATCTGCCACAGGAATCCCCCCCAAATGTTCCAGCTATGTTAGCGATTATGTTTTGTTTCCAAAGAGCTCCGAGTCCCGAGAGTTGTTAGTGGCCTTAGCGTCTTACAGAACAGAAATTATGTAAAGACAACCCTTTCCCCTCTAAGGTTACGAAATTATAAAAGCAACCTTTTTTCCTTTCCTAAGAGTATGAAACCACGCCTAATGATCTTGGAGACACCACAAATAACAGTAATCAAATCACTTCTACGGATGTTTCCAACAAAGAGAATGAAGATAGCATTACTGTAAGTATATACATTGTTTCCTGATCTGTAATCTTGGCAAACTTTCTGGCTATACAACTCAGAAAACTGAGGAGATTGTAATAGGACCCCGAGCTACCAGAACACCGGAGCTATTACTGTGTTGCAATCAAAACTCAAAAAAAACAGAAGGAAAAAAAAAGAAAATCAGTGCTCCCCACTCTTGCCCTCCCCTCATTTTTTGAAAGAGTGAATCACTTTTCAGTCCAAATAGAATTGCTAGTTATTTTATTTCATGCTTTTCCGAACAACTAACTAATTTTTTTAGCCTAAGACTTTGCTTCTAATTTTAGCCAAGGAGAGCAACTCTTTATTTACAAAACAAAGACATCCAAGGTAATTTGAAGATTGTTGTTTGAATACCAGTCCTGGAGTCAGCTTCTCCTTACAGGGAGGATGTGCTTCAATGAACTTTCAAATTCTAATTGTATGTTTTTAAAACATGATTTCATCTAGGTTTTTGAACAACTAATTTGCAGTAGCTTTCAGTCTAAGTAGTTGAATTGGTGGACCTCCTCCTTTGCTGCCTTGCCTCTCATGCTCTCCTGAACTGAGTTGTTGGAAACTGGTAGTGGGTGTCTAGCCTGGTTGATGTTGCTGCCTCCCTGCATCAGTTACTCTGTAAAGCAGCAGGCAGTGGAGACCATGTTCATGAACCAGAGAGCATACTGTGAGTTGAGACACTGCCAAAAAATGGGGAGGATCCCAGGCAGTCTTATCTTGTCTGATAACAGAATCATTGAACATCTGAGGTTGGAAGAGACCTCTAGAAATCCTCTGGTCTGATCCCCCCTGCTTAAACTGGGGCCAGCCTGGTTGCTCAGGGTTATGTCCACTCTGGTTTTGATATCTCCAGGGATGGAGATGCCACAGCCACTGAGGGCAATCTGTACCAGTGTTCAGCCACCCTCAGAGTAAAAATTTTTTTCCTATGTGTTTTTCTTATGTGTTTTCTTATAACGTGCCACTCTGCTGGAAGGGAAAGGGGTGATATGCACTCCCTCCCACCTGCCTTGAATGTGTGGGATGTTGTTCAGCCACCCTCAGAGTAAAAATTTTTTTCCTATGTGTTTTTCTTATGTGTTTTCTTATAACGTGCCACTCTGCTGGAAGGGAAAGGGGTGATATGCACTCCCTCCCACCTGCCTTGAATGTGTGGGATGTTGAAAAAGTTGTTCTCAGAGGTGTCTGAATCTCTCTTCTCTGCAGGATAGAAGAAACCTCAACAAGTGGCTGTTCTCTGTACTCTTTGATCTGAGTGCAAACGTTTCCCAGTTGAAATGAGACTCTACCTAACTGGGTTAACCTGAATGTATTCTGAATGTCTTTGAAGGTAGTTCATGAGAACAAAACAAGCAGATCTGTTTGTGTCCTCTTTTTTTAGGTGTATGTTGTGGTGGGAATTGCAGCACTGGTGTGCACTGGTTTAGTAATAATGCTTATTATTCTGAAGTTTGGAAGACACTCCAAGTTTGGGATGAAAGGTAAGCAGGGTTGTTTTTTATGCCTTCCATAATTGTTGTGGGTTGTATGAGCTGATACTATAGGCTTCTGCACTGAGAGCAGTCAAAATAACTAGATTAAGTGCCATCGCATTTAGTGTTTCCTTTATTCATCAGGTAAGTAAGGGTAGAGGCAGAGTGTAGAATTTTGGATCAAACTCTTCTGCTTCTCCTTTTTTCTTACGACAAATCTTATTTCTCTCTCTTGTGTTGCAAAGCCCCCTGGGACACTTCCTGGAGTAAAATATTACTTGAGTCAGCGTAAGTAGGAAGAAGATAAGAAATGAAATTTATTCTGATAGGAGTTTAATTACAACAATTTGACGAGAATCTATGCTGTATGTAAGAGATACTTCAGACCATACTACAAATGTCACATTAAGGTGATAGATTCCAGAGGAAACAACGGCAAGAGCAGAAGGTGCATTTGCAGTGGATTCTGTCATACTGGTGCTTTCTGACAGATGCATTTTCTTGAGCTTCTGTTTGTATCTTGGGAAGTAGCAGCTGGAGGGAGTGGCAAGTGCTCATGTCCCTGGGGAAGGGGGAAATTTCAGCCCTTCCATTTATTCATTTATTTATTTTACAGACAGATGGAGGTATGTGTAACACAGAGGTACCTGCAACAACTCCATTACTGTATTATTTTAGTGATATCATCAGTCTATGGCTGGCGATATGGGTGAAATTGTATTAAAAAAAAAGAAGAAGAAAAAAACACTTGCTGTCTTGTTGGGAGGACTAGAAGGTGCTTTGCTGTGTGCTAAAGGAGATGAGCTTTTGTTCTTAAGATGTGTAGCTGAGGGTCTGTGGAGAGAGTGGTAAGTAATCTTTTGGTAGGCTCCTGTGACCTGCATGTCCTTCCTCTCAGCTGTGCTTATGACATAGTACCACGTGGATGTATATTTTGGTAACCCTTACTTGCTCTTGACAAATGCTCTTTTCAGAGATATCTACTGTATATTTTGTGTTTCTGTATTCTGTTTAGAGGGGAGTTCCTGAAACAAATGAGATTTGAGCAGAGCAGAAATGTAGTAGGTGCAGATTAGCTTGCTGCGATGGTAACCTTTTCTCTCACTTCCTTCTGATGTGACATAGTCTCTGCTCTTTAGGGTAGCATTAAAAGAGGACAGTCATTGTGAAAAATCCTGAATAGCGACATGGAGCCAGCAGGACAGAGCTGCAGCATTTTGGCCAAAGACTAGAAAAAACTTTCTGTGACAACACCAGTTCAGCATAAATTTTATTTGTGTCTGAAGCTTTCTGAATTGCATTTAGAGAGCTGAAGTAGGTGGAAGCTAAATGAGAGCAACAATGAGAAATGCCTGAAGTTAGCTCTTTAAAGGTGAATGCTTGTTAGATTTTTCAAAATTTGCATTAAATATTTCAACATGACATTATTGGACAAACTAGGAAGTAAACTCTACCCTGAGGAAGAATGCACAAAGTCGTATTTTGTGTGCTAACATGTTAAGTTACCTTCCAGGAAGGTCCTTATATGGTGATGGTTTTTTAGTTTCTTCAGGTACAACTTTCCTCACAAAAATAATGCTCTTGCATGATCAAGTAAGTTTGACCTCAGTAGTTTTTTGTTGCAGAATTGTCCATGTATATCATATTTTACTAAGGATACACTTTTGGGGAAATGACTATATGAAATTATGAAAAGGCAGCAACCTCATAGATGGTGTTTATTTTATTCTTTAAATTTGACCAGTGATGGTTATGGAGATCAGTAAAATGGGTTCACAGTTCAGGTACACTCATTCAAAACCTGATCACAAGTATGGTATGTGTGGTAATGGTGAAATGTCACTGTGAGCTGCAAATAACTCTTGAATGTTTCATTAGAAAGGAGTGACCTTCAGTTGTCCTGAAGTGAACCTCAAACTTCTCCAAAGTTTATATTCACACCTGAGCTTCATAGTCTGGGTCCATCCATAGTCCAAAGTCCCAGAAATGCTCTCTCCATTTATCATCAGTATTATTGAATTTATATTAAAGCAATATTTAAAGACCTGAGATTAGAACACCATATTGATATGTAATACCCATTTCGATATGTAAATATTACCCGCTCTGAAAAGCCTGCAGCATAAGTATATATTGAGAATACATAAATGAGGATAAACAACCTGGGGCATTTGAGCATGAGGAAAATAAGGCAAAGGTGAAGAGAAATTTTTTGCAGTCAGTATTGATCAGTACAATACATTCAAAATGTGTGTCTTGGAAATTCTGAATAAAAAGGTCAAGCCAGCTACTGTGAACTCCTTGAGTTGTTTGCCATTGAATTCAGTGGCAGCAAAATTAGTCCCAGCTTACCCTACAGGCGTTGTGTTATAATTGGTCGTTTAATAAACAGCCTTAGTAGGGAAGCGGGAAGGAATAAAATATCTAGATTGCCATTGGAAATATTTATAAAACAAGATAAAAAAATATTTTCAAATCTTCCCCAAAATATTAATGAATATTTTGCATTCCTAAGAAAGAACTTCCTGACTTACATCAGGCAGAAATGCACAAAAGGCTGTGCCTCATTTTTCTGTTATCTTGTGAGAACACAACACGGTCGCCTCAGACACCCTGTCATTAAATGTCTCCTGACCCTTCTTCAGCAAGCAGTTTGGAAAAAAAACAAAATAGTCATTCAGTAACTGGAGCAGTCAAACTGGCACTCAATGGTATTTTTCGTGTAACTGTGTACTAAACGGGAAAAAACGTTCCACTGAAAAGCTGAAAAAGACATGTGTAAATAGGCAATCAGCACTGTGTGTCCCGTAGGAAACGTCTTTGTGTAAGGGGTGAAATTTTCACCCAATTTGGATTCACAGCAGGGAATCTGCAGCTTCTTGAAGACATTGGTTTTTGCCTCATATTTTTAAAAGCCAGTTTATCCCATCTTTTGCACGGGCATCATCTGCCCACTTCTTAGACTGTGTCCTTCCTGAGTCTTTCTGTGCTTAAAGAGCTTGAGCATAGTTGGAGTGTGGGACTGACAGTGATCGTGTCCCCAGAAGGAGATGTGGAGCGGGCGGTTGTGCCTGAGCTGTGCTGCATGAGAGCTGGCTGTACCTGGAAGCACTGCACATGCCGAAGAGCTGCAGAGACTGCCACAGAACTCACATGCCCCCATTGTCTTCTTTCCATTACTGTGCTGAGCAGAAGAGAGTCCAGTTTATGTGATGTGGAGCACCAAGTCCTCTGGGATCTTCCAGTACTTTGGCAGTACCAATCAATCTCTTATCGAGATCTGTTGAAGAGCTTGTTGTGGTTCAACCCCAGCGAGCGACTAAGCACCACGCAGCCGCTCACTCACTCCCCCCACCCCGGTGGGATGGCAGAGAGAATTGGAAGGGTGAAAGTCAGAAGACTCATGGGTTGAGATAAGAATAGCTTAATGATTGAAGTAAAATGAAATGGAATAGTAGTAATAGTAGTAATAAGGATAATAATAATATACAAAGCAAGTGATACACTATACAATTGCTCACCACCCACTGACAGATGCCCAACCAGTCCTCGAGCAGTGATCGCTCTCTCCCACCCAACTTCCCCCCGTTTATATCCAGTCTGGGTCAGCTGTCCTGGCTGTGCCCCCTCCCAGCCTCTTGTGCACCTGGCAGAGCATGGGAAGCTGAGAAGTCCTTGACTAGTGTAAACTCTGCTCAGCAACACCTAAAACATCAGTGTATTATCAACGTTATTCTCATTCTAAATCCAAAACACAGCACTATACCAGCTACTAGGAAGAAAAATTAACTCTATCCCGGCTGAAACCAGGACAGAGCTGTATAAAAATAACTTAGCCTGTCTTTTGGCTTCTCTCTTCATTTTATGTATCTAAAGTGAGGGAACAATTTGAGATACGTTCATTTCACTCAGTTACCTTTCCAAATTGTAGTAATAGAGTGTTTTTGCAGGTAAGGAGGACAAGAAAAGCACTCATTCACTGCGAGTAACAAAACGAAAACATTCTGTTTGTGATGTTCTGGATTCTGGTTAAAGTTGGGTTGCACCATATGAGGCAATTGTTTTAATTCTTGCCTTGCTTCTTTTCATTCTGTCTTTTAGAGCAGTGGAAATAGCAGGTTCTTGTTATTAACTTCGGGAACAATATTAGTACAGAACTGGTTTGTGGTCTGTGCTAGAAGAGACTTAAAATAGGGTTAGTAAAAAAAAAAATACTGTTGTGTTCTTTCTGCTCTGTGGATAACGTCTCATGTTGTGCTAGACTTCCAGACTTTTGCAAGAGTCTGCATTGCAAAATTCATCAGAGTATCTGGTGAAACATAATTATCTCTATTTCTTTGCTTGTGTGCATTTTAAACACCTTCTTATACAGAGTCTGTTGATTTGTGTCAAATGCTGCTTTTGGTTGCTTGAATCTGGAGGTGAGGTTTTTTACACCCTTGCAAGATGCTGCAGTATAAATGGTGAAAGCTTCAGTTAATTCCTTAAATGTATTCATTAAGATTTGTGGGTTGCTCTTACAAAACACCTTGGCTTGGTTGCTTGCTGGAGGATGTGAAAGTGCTTATGTTGGAAATTCACTGAAGGCTGCCAAGACAGCTCTTATCGTTTTGTGTGTATTTCTGACTCCATCTAACCAGCTTATGAAACTGAAAAATAACAAGGGAACGGAGTAGTGACGGCAGGGGAAGGTTTGTGAACTTCCTGAGAAGAGTTGTGGAAGAACAATTCTGATAGTGTTTTATTCTACCTCCCGTGTTGAAAAATAAATGTAAATAAACAACTAGTTGCAGCATAACCAAACTGATACACAGTTTGCAAATGTCAGTATAGCAGCATGCCACTAAGCATGAATGGAAGTATGGAGGAAACTGGAAGATAAATCAATGGATAAAGTTTGAAATAGCATAATTCAGTTAAAAGGATGAAAAAACATTTTTAATGATTTGAACTGTAGTAAATTGTAGCACAAGGTGTCCCTGTTCCAGCAACAAGACAATATCCTCAGT